AAGGCAAGCATAGGAGAAGTCTCCCTCCTAAATCCATTAGCGATGATTTTTGGGAATGGAAAGACAAAATACACCTATCATTTGGGAGTTATAACCAGTTTAAACTCTCTGGTGTTCAGTAGATAAGCTCTTGTTGGCAGCTCTGCACGGACACAGGCACAGCAGCTAGTCTAGTGTGTAAGATGTACTTTTTGCCGCATAATCTTTACGCTAAAATGACGGGGTTGTGGCTCCAGAAAGAAGAGTTGAAAAGGTAAGGAGCTTACACTGCTGTGAGCTGTCAACAGGAGATGGAGGAGGTGGGGTACTTAGGGATCTCTTCCCTGGAAAACATTGACAAATAAATGCTGTTTGAAAGAAGTGGTAGTAGACAAACTCGTAATGCTTTTTAGTCTCTCATTTTTCTTTTCCTTTGTTCAGATAAACTTATTGCTCCTGCCACTTCTTTCCTAAATGCTGGAAGTAGTGATTCAGAATCTGCAACTGACAAAGAACTGGGGTTTTGCTATTTCACTATCTTACTGCATATAGTTTTCTTAATTTTTTCCCCATTGTCCTTTTTCCTCTCTCCCCAAATTTATTGCCTTTCCTCTAGTTTCGTCTCACACTATCTCCATTGTAGTTCTTACTCAGTTCATTCATTCCAGCTCTATTCCTGATGAATTTCCCAGACCTTCAATATACATCCATAATACTTTATAGGCTCCAGTTCTCTGATGTACCATCAGATAGAAATAGATAAAGCTGAATACAAAGTAAAATACACTAGGGATGTGAAAGAGTAGTCAGTTAGTCAACTACTGATAAGTATAGGCTTATTGGGTAGTCAAATTGACTACTCGCATTCCTCCCCTTCTTTCCCCACTCCCTTGCTGCCTCTGATATAGGAGTCAGTGCTGTGGAGATTAGGGTTGCCAGATAGTTTCACAAAAAATACTGAATATGGTGGGGGAAAAAATTGGTTGGGTGGGGGGAAGAAGCCAGAAGTTGTTGAGCAGAGCAAAAAAAAACAAAACAACAACCTAGACCCTTTAAATCCTCCTACACTCCCCCCACCACAGATGCAGTGGCCTTCTGTCTGAGAAAAACAGGAAAGAAGCCGCAAATACCAGACTGACACCGTCTTCACGGTGTGAGGGGGGAGGGAGCAGGGGAGGCAGAGGCGCAGTCGTCCAGACCTACACCTGCTGCGGCTCTGCATTTTAAATGTAGTAGGCACCAGGCTGCTTGCATGTCTAGCTCATGCTAAATTTAAAAGGCAGGGCTGCAGTGGACCCTTATAAACTAATCATGTAGTCGATACGAATTGTATCAAGTACATGATTAATGATTTTACTTGCTTCTTAACATCCTTAGAACACACACACCCCATCACTGAACCATTTTAGCAAAATGTGACTAGGCTGTGATGCATTAGGTTTTTAATGACCTGGGCTGCTGCCTAGCTCTGCTACTCATCATGCTTGTTTCTAGCAAGTGCAAGGGAAGTCCTTGTACAGTAAAACTCCATTGGTCCGGCATCCAATGCTCCGGCACTCCTGATGGTCCGGCACCATCGGGAACCCGGAAGTGCTGGGGCAGCCAGACTTGGAGCTCAGGACCAGCAGGGGATTCAAGCAGCCCCCTGCTGGCCCCTTGCTCCCTACGGCATTTCAAAGCGGTGTTGCTGCATGGAGCCTGGGGTTAGCAGGGGAGTCCCCAGCTGACCCTGGGCTCTGTGTGGTATTGCTGCCTTGAAACGCAGCATGCAGCCCAGGTCAGCTGGGAACTCCCAGCTGGCCCCGGGCCACATACAGCATTTCAGAGCTGCAGTGCTGCCTGGTGCTGAAACTGACCAGCAGTGGCTGAATCAGGGATGCCTGGGGCAGAGCCGGACTATCAGAAGGGGGGGGCTATGAGGGGTCTGGGATGGCATCCCCCCCACCCCACCCCAGACCCCTCATAGTCCCCCCTTCTGATAGTCCGGCATATCTGATAATCCGGTACCCCCTGGGTCCTAAAGGTGCCGGATTATCGGAAGTTTACTCTAGTTTGTATTTACCTACAGGACAGAAGGCCTAATTCAGATTTTGCACCAATTTTTTTTCCGGTGTAACTCCATTGATTGAAATTACTCCTGGCACTAAAATGATTAAATGAGTTTTAATTCACACCCTTTGTTGTTTCACTGTGCACCTGTGTCTGTGGATATTCTTAATGTGGAATAAGTGTTTTATTTTAATCAAAGCTATACAGATTCCATGCTAACTTGTTTTAACCCTGTCAGTAAACTACATTCAAAAAATTCTCCAGCACTGCTAGCTCTTTCCTATATATTTATAATGAAAACTGTTTGGTTTTTTGGATACTCTTTCAGGATGGAGGCAGCCTTGTAGGAGAAGTGAATGAAGAAGGGGAGATGACGGGGGAGAAAATAGCCTATGTGTATCCTGATGAGAAGACTGCATACTATGGAAGGTTCATAGATGGAGAAATGATAGAAGCAAAACTGGCAACCCTTATATCTGTAGAGGAGGGGAAGCCACACTTTGAACTGGTACCAGGCAGTAAGTTCAGTTGACATGCGACTTGTATTCTGATGAAAAGTAGATTATTCTGGTCTGTGAGTCTCACCTTTTTTCTTCACCTCAGTCCCCATGCTCTGAATATTCCCCTTGAGGGTTTGTAAGGTCTGGCTGCTGAGGTGGAATTGATTGTTAGGTAGAATACTCATGAGGACCTATGTTAGTTAGATGGGGTGGATGTGTATCTCTAGTATTGCCCACTGCTCTGAAAAATGCAGAAATGCTATGGAGGGTTATAGTGGGAGGGGAAGACAAAGGGAACACTCTGGGAATCTGCCCCGTACTGTTCGCTCCTAAATTCACTTTTTTGCCACCTGGAAAACTAGCTTATAATGACTCTTTGTTTTGACAGGTTTGCTCATTTTAACAATGTAAGGAAGGGTCATGATTCAGTCCTACCTGTCTTGCTGTCTGTTGGGTTTGTTTATTATAATTAGTACTAGGGAGTGTGGGGCATGGATATCGGGATTAATGAGTTTGATTCGATAAGTAAGAGAGACTCTGATTCACCGTAGCCCTGCAACGTATGTAGTTGTTTACACCAGTTTTTGTGTGTAAAATGTTAAACATAAATATGATAGTGTCTTAGACCAATTCAGTGCTGTGGCAAATAATTGTGGGGTGCAGGGCTATAGTGAATTGACCCCTTAGTGTTTTGGGGTGTTTGTTTAATTGCTGTAGACATTCTTCCAGTTGTGGGCAAGACAGGATCATTAGCAGAAGTATGTCAGCCCTTTTACTTTTGTGCCCCAAAGCTATATGTACTTAAATAGTCTGGAAATAAGAACATAAGCATTAGGAAAAGGGAGGGAAACAGACCAGAGAATGGCAGTGACCATTTGTTTTTAAACATTGTAGCTAAATCTTCGCATAGCGCAATTAAAAAGAGGAAAATCCTTCTGGGAGGGTACAACTTATGCTTTGTAAATAGAATACAGCTACACTCTGTGTTGAAAGTTGTAAGAAGAGATCCATTTTTAGAACTTGGTTACCACAGACAGCAGCTTTTTATCAAACTTTCAAATACTGAGCTTTTTCCCTGCCTTTTCCACCTGCATCTTAATTTTGCCTACAAGTAAGCATCAGAGAGTTGATTATTCAAGTGTGCAAGTATATAATTTACATAAAATTATGCATTTGGGTGGTTTAATCATGACAGGAAACAAATTACTGTAGCTAGTCTAGTGTATAAGATGTGCTGTTTATTCTGACTTAGAATTACTTTGAGTGCTTCAGTTTTGGGTGTCCATTTTTAAATGGTAAAAGGGCTTAGTTATCACAGGGTTGGTACTCAGTACTTCCTCAAAGTCATCCCTATGTAAGGTTTCCAAGGTGGACACCCAAATCACTACAGGTTGACCGTCTCCAGTCCAGCACTTTCTGGTCTGGCAACATCCATAGTCCAGCATGATTTTAGTTAGCTGGATGTCCACTTATCAGGGGTGTGGCCAAGTTTCCTGTGGTCCCATAAAGTTTGTTTACAGTCACCTGTCTTGCCTCTTAGTGTTCTGTGCTGTTATTTAGCTCTGATTTACCCCTAAATGTCTGCTAAGAGCCCAGTAAGCAGGGGATGTTTGTAATGCTTCTCGACAATATTGACCTCCTGTGGTCCAGCAAATTCTCTAGTTCAGTTCTGGTCAGGTCCTGAGGTCACCAGATGAGAGACATTCAACCTGTAGTCATTTTTTGTAAAAACTGTGCCCTGCTTTAATAATCAGAGATCCTCTTTTCAAAAAACCAAAAACTCTTATCTATAAAATACAGGCAGTCCTTATGTCGGATCTGCACTTACAAACGGGGCTTTCTCGCCCCGGAGCTCGCAGGCAGTGGGACTGCCCAGAGCGCAGCGGTTCCGCCACCTCGACATCCGGGGCGAGAAAAGCTGCTCCGGGTGCCCCTGGTCTGCTGGGGACTGTCTCCAGCAAGCTGGGGAGGCGTGGGACCCCGCCACCGCTGCGGCTTTGCTCCCCGTGTCCCTGGTCTGCTGGGGGTGGGGGGGAGGGCGCACCTAGTGCACCCTCCCCCCCAGCAGACCAGGCTTTTGTTGTGGACCCTGGGGTAGAGCAGCTGGGGTGCTGCCGGGGTGGTCCTGCAGGGACCTACCTGGCAGCCCAGCTGTTCTGTCCCAGGCTCGAGAGTCAGCCGCTGTTGAAACTGATCAGTGGCTGATTCCAGGAAGCTGGGGGCAGAGCAATTCTGCCTCCAACTTCCTGTAGTCAGCCCCTGGTCAGTTTCAGCAGCAGCAGCTGAATCTGGAACCAGTTCCGACTTACATACAAATTCAACTTAAGAACAAATTTTCAGTTGCTTGAGAAGAGAAAAATCAAGAAGTAGTAACCGTCTGAGAATTCAGGTACAGGTTGAACCTCTCTAATCCGGCACATGATTGGTGCCAAACCATGGAAAGTCAATATTGTCTAGCTGCATTACTGCTTACTGGGCTCTTAGAAGGCATTTAGGGGTAAATTAGAGCTAAATAACAGCACAGAACACTGAGCGCCAGGACTAGTGGCTGTAAACAAACTTTATGGGATCATGGGAAACTTGGCCACACCCATGATCTGTGGACACCTGGCTAATCAAGATTGTGCCAGACCATGGATGTCGCCTGGCAAGAGTATGCTGGACTAGAGTCTGTATTTTGTTATCACTGCAGCTTTATATAGTATCCTTTTTAAGTATATTGTTTCTTTGGTTCATCTCATCTTTCAGACTTAATTTGCTTTTGAATGCATTGAATTTGTGTCCCTCTAACAAAAGAGAGAAATGCTTTTAATATTGTCCATTAATTTAATTCCTCTATTGATTTATTTTTAGGCCCAGTATACAGTTTTGATAAATCTACTTCATCTTGCATTTCTACAAATGCACTTCTTCCTGATCCTTACGAGTCAGAGAGGTAGAACTTTTCTTTTTCCCATTTAAAATCTTTCAGTAAACTTCTTGGTCTGCTGTGCGTTGAGGGACCTGATCCTGCAAACCCTTACTCATAGAAACAATTGCAGAACTAGTCAGATGCCTAAGGGTTTGCCAGGTTGGGCCTTTAACTTGATGGATGTGGAGCATAGACTTAATTGAAATGAAGTTTCTTTTGGATTTACATGGAAAAACTGGCAATCTAGTAGACAAAACATGGACATATACACTCAAATGCCTTTAATATAGCTGCAAGATCGTGTTCAGTGAAGTCCGGACATTTTCATTAAGGGCTCTATCCTACAAGGTACAGCTCAAGGAGGGTGGGTCAGCATCTTGTAGGCCCTGGTGCAGATACACTGTTCCCTTTTTCAGGACACAGATTTAGTCTCAAATTGAAGTGTATTCCAACCATAGTGATTCAGGTTGGGTTAAATACTGCTCGCCTGCGTTGTATTTTCAGTGGTGCAAGCAAGCAAAAGTTCTTACCAGTATGGGAGAACACACCAACTAGTGCAGAGGGAACACGACTTCCCTGTATGACCCTTCACATGTCTGTGACCCACCCCCGGGCTCTTCTCCTTCCCATTCCACATTCCCTGAATGGTAGGGTGGCTGGAGAGGGGAGGGTATGGCAGCTGGAGGAGCTGCTGGCAGTTCTGCTCCTTTCCCAGCTACCCCTCCCAGCAGGGGAAGAAGCAGAACTCCCAGGACTTCCCTCAGCGCTGGGGAAAGGGGAGATTGTCCATTTCAAACCTCTCCTGTTGACATGCCATGTTTCTCTACCGAATGCTGGATTCCAGTCAGTCACTAACAGCACCTTTTTATATTTCTCAGTGTACAGCATGTAGAACTGCTTGTGTCTTCACTGCCTTAATCCCATTTGTTTTAAACAGCTTTGCTGTCCTAGTGGTGGTAATCCTCTTCTGGTATTACATCACACATTTCGACGTTTGTAGTAAGCAGTTCTTACTGACTGTTGTCTAGAAATGTGGAGTTCTAGAGCCTGATCCTAAAAGTGCTTTCTGAAGTGATTAGTCCTTGCACACATGACCAGTCCCATTGAATTTCAGTTGGACTACTCATGGACTGACAGTTGGAGGGCCCTTTGTGTTTAGCCATCATTAGGGGAAGACTGGAAAATGGTCATTTAAATAAAAAAAATGAAATTACAAGTGTCGTCTTTCTCCTAAGAATTATGTCCCTAGAAAAGTCGTCCTGTTTCTCTAATAAGAAAATCTTAGGTTTGGGGGGGGTTTTGTCTTTGCATTTCTAAAGGGCATGAACTACTAACCTCTGCACCAGTAACTGTAGTAATAATACTGTGTAGAAAATTGCAAATGTGATGAGAAAATACCCAATTTCTACTCTCTTTATTTTCTAGGGTATATGTTGATGTATCTCTAATTTCCAGTGCTGGCGAAGGATTGTTCTCTAAAATAGCAGCAGGATCAAGCACAGTTATGTCCTTTTACAATGGAGTGCGAATTACACACCAGGAGGTAAGAGGGAGGAGGAGGGTGTCAGTCTGAACTTTTTTTTATCGCTTTTAGCATTTTTTGAACTGTTTTCATGTAATTGCATTTCTTCCCACCTATTGGATTTTATAAGAAATTGGAAGAAAATGAATTAAATCTTGGGGGAAAATTAAGAACAAATTAATGATCTGTTACTTCACTAAAAAACCCAAATGTAATACAAGTAAGGTGTTCTTCTCCCCGAACCATGTCAATTAAAGTGTGCTTACTGCATCTTTTGGAAACAAAAGGTAACCACACGTACACACGCTGGGTTTTTACCTTGCAAATCAGGTGGACAGCAGAGACTGGGCCCTCAATGAAAACACAATATCACTGGATGATGAAACAGTCATAGATGTGCCGGAGCCCTACAACCATGCCACCAAGTATTGTGCCTCGCTGGGGCATAAGGCCAACCACTCCTTCACTCCTAATTGCATCTATGATCCGTAAGTATTAGCCTGTCTTTCAGACCAAATGCTGCAGAGGTAAGGTTGCTGCATTGTAGTTTGTGGTGCTTGTACAACGTTTTCAGGTGGCTGGATGGACTATCTGGATCCAAGAGTCTTAATTCATGTTCACGTGCAATCTCTGTGTACTGGAGCTTGCACCAAGTGGGCTTTGCAGATGCTCAACAGCTTCTCATTTTTTGGAGGGCAGGTTCAGGCTTAGAATTATATTGCATGTTTATCGAGACTCATGAGTTTGTATCTGACTGTTGATTCTCAGATGCACAAAATGTAATGTCATTGACTGAAACATAAATCTTAGCTGCCTAGGGATACTCCTGCCTCACTTCTAGCATTTGACAAAGTATGTTTAACAATGCACTATTTTAGAACATGATGCCTCAAAAATAAGAATTTTAAAAAATTCTCTCCAGCAGCTGAAAAACCAGCATTGACATACATGTGTAAGGATGTACATATTTTATAACAATATGGTAAGGGGGGGCATATGCTTTGTAGCTTGTTCAGACCAAACTTATTTCACGTATCCGGGGCTCCTTATGTCCCTCCATCATCCCCCTCCTCCACAAATTCCCTGTGTGCCACTCTCCTATTCCCTCTCTGTTTCGGAGACTCCTCACAACTTCCTCTTCTAAACTCCAGCAGCTCTCAAAGGCCCCTATTCCTGTTGTCTTCCATATCAGAGTCCCCGTCTTCCTCAACTGAGGTTTTGTGTCATCCATTTCAGGCTCCTCCTTCCTTCCACATAGCAGGGATTCTGGGTGACCTCTGTTTTCCCCTCCACCCACAACAGGGTCCTCCAATTTCTCCCCTCCATGCCAGCAGCAATATGTACCCCCACATTCCTCCACTACCCCCCTTTCTAAGTTATTCAGGGTGTCAGCATTTTAAATGCTCTTGGGAGAACTGTCAGTGATAAAATAGGAGCACTGTTATGCTAGGAGGTGTTAATGAGTGCCATCAAATGTTCTTTGATCTGTAGACTGCTGCAGAGGCATTTGAGGCTGTGACTGTGCTGAAGAACTGTTAGGGACTTCACAGATCTCCCAATTTTTTCCCAATTTCAGTAGGGTTCTTGCCATTGATTTCTGGAAGATTCTCTAACATATGCAGCAATTGGACATGGTATTTAACAGTTGTTTAAGATAAATAGAGAAATGTTGAGTGTTAGAGCTTTGTAAGCTTGCCTGAATGTACACGAGGATTCAGAGACGAGCACTGAGAATGATCAAAGAACTGGAAAAAATGCTATATTGTGATTAGATTCAAGGAGTCCAGTTGATTTAGCTTAATAAAGAGAAGGTTTAGTTGGGATTGGTCCTGCCTTGGGCAGAGGGCTGGACTTGATGACCTCCTGAGGTCTCTTCTGGCTCTGTGATTCTAAGGTTGGGGTGACTTGATCATTTGTAAGTATCTACCTGGACAACAGAAATTTGATGATAAGGCTCATTATCCTAGAAGGCAAATATATAAAAGACCCAGTGTCTGGAACTTAAAGCGAGGCAAATTCAGACTAGAAATAAGTTGTTAACAATAAAGGTAATTAACCACTGGAACAACTTTTTTGAGGATTGTTCTTCATGACCAGTAGTTTTAAAATATTTTTTTTCTATAAGAAATGTTCTGGCGAAACAGGGGAGTTCTGTAATCACCGTTGTTATGCAGGAGGTCGGACTAGTTGATCGCCTTTAGAATCTGTTGCGTTCAAAATATTATTGTTAAATTATTGAATCAGTCTACCTCTTCAAAAAAGGAGTAGGAAGGGAAAACTTAAAAAACTCATGACTCTTTCACATCTCTTGAGTGAATTCTGCACATCCAGTCAATATTTGTTTTCATCTGAGCAATGAATAAGTGTTAGTACAGCCTACTTGGCTCTCTTTTTTGCCTGACTTTTGAACCCAAGACCTTGTGTCATTTTCAAACTTCTGGATTATGTTAAAGGGGTGTGTGAGACAATTTTTTTTTAAATTAACATTTAAAAATAGTTTTGGATACCATCGACTGCTCATGGGAGACAGTGAAGTAAAAGTTTTTAAAAATCCACAAAAAAGAGAAACTGTTTTATACCCCTAAGTTATTGTGCTCTTCTTTTGTTACCTACAACTATAATGAGCAGGACACATACAGCTAGAAAACTCCCTTGCTTACAATAAGTCCCTGGGGAAGATGAATAGAAGGGTGTTCTTGTAAAAACATTTATTAAATAATCTGCACTAGGTAAATAAGGATGAGGGACTTCCCTCTTTTTCAGATAATGATTGTTGTCCTGTTATAAAGGTAGGCTGTAAGTCTTACACAAATCAGTTGCTACTTTTTTGAGACTATAAGCATCTTACATTGAGAATATCCAAAGAAATCAACTTTGAAACTGTAACATGAAGTATGATGCAGTACTTGAAGCCTTTTTTAAATTTTACCCCAGAATAAATCTTGAAGTTCAAGGCAGTAGTTCATTGAACAAATTTTTAAGTTTCATGTAAATCAAGGTTTCATAAATATCAAGAAGTGCCAAACAACTCTTTCAGACGCAAGATAAATATTAACTAGAGGGGGTTTAAAGAAGTTTGTGTTGCATGGGATCATGAATTTATAGTTAGGGTTTTTTTTTTTTGTAACACAAAGTTTACTAAAGACTAAAATTTACAGTGCTTTCTCCTCGTTGTTAAGGTTTGTTCATCCTCGTTTTGGGCCAGTGAAGTGTATACGCACCATCAGGGCTGTGGAGAAAGATGAAGAATTAACAGTGGCTTATGGATATGATCACAATCCCATCGGGCAGAATGGGCCAGAAGCACCAGAATGGTACCAGATGGAACTGAAAGCCTTCCAGGCTGCCCAGCAGAAGTGAAATGCAGGCAAATTCTCAGTTCAGCAAGCTGAAATAGAAACTTTGATCTATGCACTACCTTTATATTGAAAACTGGACAACCAGGGATTTGTTCATGCTGTTGCATCATAACCTCTCATATGGTGTTAGAAATAAGTTTCTTGCATACTGACTATGTTTGACCGCATTACTCATAGCAGATTTAAAATTAGCTAGTGTTGCACCAGTCTTATCTGAAAGAATTATTAAATATTCTATACAAGGCAGCGTGATATTTTAGTAGCTTTTATCTAACTCTGCACCATATGCAAAGATGCCAAAAGATTAGACAGAAAATGAAAAGATCATTCACTTTTAGTCAGACTTCAGTGTTACTATTTCTACAGCCTAGGCATTACTGTGCAACTGCATTTTACATACATGCCATTTGTGATGGTAATGATACTATTTTGATATTCTCTAATAGTAGTGTAATTTGCCTTTTTAAACCTTTGATCTTAATCTTGCAATAGAGCAGTTTATTTATTGGTGTATAGGAGGCTGGGTTTTTATTCCCTTGTCCCCTTATCTGAGCGTTTTTCTTTCTACAAAATCCTCTCTTGCAGGAGAAAACCTTTCTAACAAATGGAAAGGTTTGTATACTTTAGAGAGAGAGAGTGAGTGAGTGCTGTGTATAGGTCTCTGTGATATTTTATATAAATAGTTTTAGTGGTATTAATATCCATAACACTTACTTGTCTGGCCTTTGGGCCTGGGATACTCTGTTTAAATATGATTATCACACATGAATTAACATGTATTTGCATGAAGATGTTCAAAGAGGAGAAAGTGGGGTTTGACATTCAGGAACGTGGTTGCTGGAACAATTTTTATAGTGAGGGTGCTAAGAGCCATTGAACTAAACCGTGAGCCCATCTATCTGATGGAAACTACTTCAAGCCAGAGGATGCAGCATCACCCTTACTTCCAGCACCTATGTTCAGGAAAGGGAACATTCATTTGGAAATTAACAAGTCTTGCCTCATGTTGTAGAAGAGATTGATAGAGCCGCCATTTCAGTTTAGATCAGCAATGGGCAACGTGGGGTAGTGAGTGGGCTGCACGAGTGGCCCTTCTTCTCAGTGGGCCGCAAGATTATTGTAACCAAGACAGTTCCCTGGGATAGGGTAGTTTTGCTAACTGTGCTTACGTACTTAGAATTTGCAAGGTGAGCTGGTTGAACCGTAGCAGCACTTTGATTGGAGGCAGAGGGAGCACTCGGCTCTCACAGCCAGTGCTGTGTGCAATCAGCACGCACCTCACTTCACATGCCTTTGCTTTATGTGGGTATCGCTTTAGCAATACCGGTATGGAAAAAACCTATATGGATGGAAACCAGCCGAATCTGGCAACCCTGCATTTGGGCAACAGTGTTTAAAAAAAATCTTGTGGGCTACACACAGAGCCCACATGGGCCTCAATTGAGGTTGCCCACCACTGGTTTAGATAATCCAGGCCTTCTTGGGAGGGTCTACAATCTTGCTGACCTTTTTGTTTGTGGTTTTTAAATAGTACGGGAATAGTTAAAATGCACTTGCAATAGACTTACTTTACATAGATATAGAATTTTGTGTGTCTGACAAACAAGAGTGCTAAGGAGAATTAGACTTAAATTGCTACAGCAGCAGTACCTTCTTTGATTTGTTTTAAGAGTTTGAACTACCCCGATACAGTTTTCTTTGATCCGCAAACTAGCATGAATGCAGGTGTCCATTTCAAATAGGGAAAGGCATCTGGCAGTGTGGAACCTAGATATTTTTAGAGAATGCTTTGGATGGACCAAAGACACAGAAGAATGACGATGCTATTTTATGCTGTGTGAGGATCCTCAATGTGGTGTACATACGTAGTTGGAGAATTTAAGTAAAGCCCTCTTTAATTTGGGCTCTATTTATTTAGCTTACACAACTGCTGCTCAGAGCTTTTCAGGACTTTTTGACATTTAGGCTTGCACAGAAGCTAATTTTCAATGGGTGGGTGTATGCCGTGGCTTCCAGAGCGCGCTCCCAGCAAAGATAAGAGTGCAGGCTTTTTCAACACCCACTCCCTCGCTCTGGAGACTGTAACCACATCTGTGTTTCTTCGTATATGGCAGGTGGCCTACCCAGATGATATTTTGGTGACTCAGTTTGGGTTTGCTGAGAGACTGAACCGATCCTCACACATGAAGGAGAGTTGTCAAAGGCTGATTGACAATACCACTTCAGCAGGTGACCCTCAAAAAAAAAATAGGAATGTGTAAGAATAATTTCTGCCCGCACATAGATCAACAATTTAAGGGCATCACAACGCTGAAGTGTAACTGTTGCTTTACTAGAGGCATGTCTTCCTCTAAACTGTTGGAGGAATCTTAAAAGTTAGGATTGTGTTTCAGTGGGAAACAAGAATGGTCTGGCTATGAATGAATAGCAAATGGATTTATTCTAAATAACTGGCCATCAGGAGGTTGCTTGACTTTTTTTTTCCCTCCCTCCCATGTCACTTGGAAAAACTTGTATAAGTGTTCTTTCTGCTACAGTCCTCTTACCTCACTTTGATTCCTGCTTCTACTGTCTCCCATGAACTTTGTTCAGGGAGGTGATCTCCTTTGTTTTTTTAAGGCATGCATTAAACAAATGCTTTCTACTAGGTAGACGTGATTGTTATAGGGTAAAAAACAGAGAATTAAGCCCTCAGGTTGCTAAAACCTTGCTTTTTCTTTGTTTTGTTTTTCCTTCTAATGCCATTCACTTGGTGTTGGGCAAATAGATTAAGTACTGATTTGAGAAGGTTGAAATATGAGGATATGTCTAATCATGACAAGCAAAAGTCTAGTCTCTCTCCGTATTGCTACACCACTTCTCCCTGCTCCATTAGAATCTGTTGATCCCTGCTGGTCTTCCTCAATGACACATCTCTTACAACATCAACATCCTTGGTCTGAATTAGGTTTGATTCTTTTTAATTTTTCCTGTGGGCTCTCAGGGGCCGGAAAATGATTTTTTTTTTTAAAGGACACAGATTTTGGCTTGAAATGGAATATGATTGTGACAGCATGCAGCCACAGAAAATCCCTTGCGATTGTTCCCCTCGTGCTACTGACACATGCTTTCATCCTCTCTGGGACTCCCCACCACCATGTCCTGCTGGGCCAAATTCTGTGGTCTACCCCAGACAAGGCAAAGAGTTGGAAATACCACCCCCTGCAGAGCAATGCAGACACTCAACCAGTTTAGTTCTCAGAGAATGCATTTCTAGGGCACAGCACCCAGGAAACCAACCCCCAAAAGGAATCAAAACCCCTGATAAATCCATCTTTGAGTAAAAGTCATGAGGATGTTTTTCCCCTTTTCAATGAAAGAGAAATATGCACACTGGTTGTCCATTAACCCAGTAACAATAATTTACATTGAGCCTGATAGTAAACCAAAGTGTTCTTATTAAGTAGGATTTAAATGGTTGAGAGGTGAAAACAGACAGATCAAAGTAAGTTAAGTTAAATTTAAAAGAAAATGCTAGTGCTAATTCACTACAGAACTTATTGTAAGCAGATTCTTACCGTAATGAGCTGTTCCAGGCATTATCTTTAGGTCAGAGACTTTTACCCTGACCTGTCCCCAGCCCTCTTTGGAGTGGATCTGTTATCTGAAGACAAAGGGCTGATAGCTTTCCATTGCTTAATTGTTTTTCCCCCAGGGTGGGAACCTTTCATTCCACATTACCCTTCCCCTGCCTCCATTAAAAACTACCAGGGTCAAAATGGAATCCCAGTACCAGATGGTATGGCTACATCTTACTAGTCCAGTCACCTTTGGACTTATAGGACAAACAAGGCTGTTTACAAGTTGTTAAGTTGATCATGAAGTGATTAAAACTTTTTTTGGGGGGGAGTAATGGCTCTCATTAGCATATATAAAACTAAGAACTCTCATATTTCATGTTTCTGACTTTACATACAAGAATGATGCATGCACTAAAATAGGATACATAGATCCAGCAGTTTGTCACATTAAAATTGATAGATACTTTTTGTGTGTGTGTGAAATGAGTTGAGTAGTGGCACATAAGAGACCTACATCAGAGCTTTTCTGTCTCTGGTTCTAGGCAAGTAGTCTTTATGTAAAATGACCCTCAGGAGAATGCATAAATGTACGGTATTTTTAATATGTAATAATACTAAAATCTAAATAGTTAGATTAACAGGAGGGCAGCATTCTCTTGTGCTCAGAGTCTGACAAGGACATGTCGTATTACAAGAAACTGAAGACAGATGAACTCCAGATGGGAACACGTGCTGACCAGGGAACACTGACCAAGTGGTGTAATATCCTTTTAATTCTGGAGGATGGCATAGCAGAATATGTAATCCTCTTCTAAGATGTTAATTTGTGATATGGACATGATTCAGATTCCAACCTCCTTGTTTGTATCAGGATCTTCAATATCTTCACACACATACGCCTCTGTAATAATAAGATTTCTCCAGCTCTTCTGATGAAGAAGCAGAACATAAAACAGTTTGCACTAGTCCTCAACCTAAACATGATGGTGATTTTGCTGCAGATCTCCTTTTTGCTATCTGCCAGATAATCTGGCTACATTGCCAGGACAGCAGCTTGTCATTGTAATCAGGAACCCAGAAGTTTTGTGTAGAGCTAGCATAAAGTCTCTTACAAAACTAGAGAAATGGAGGAACCAGAGGTTGCTAAAAGAGCTGGTAATTGTAAAAGAGCTAGAGCAGCATGAGAAGAAGGGCCCTGAACTGTAATGTCAGCTGCTAGGTATCTTTTGTAGACATCAAGGATAGGGAAGTGGGATCAGGCTGTTTTTTTTTTTTTTTTTTTTAAGTTGTGCTCAACACACTGTGCCTTTTAAAGATTCTAAGGGGTTTCCAGGAGATTCTGATGCCATAATTTGGCCCACTTGCATTCCTTTATCTGGTGAACCTCCCTCTGGTTTTAGCCGTTTTAGCTACAAATCTGAAGAGGGTGTCACACTGGCATTTGCTCTAGTTAAGAGGAAATAATCCACAGAAGTCTGACAAATTTGAACAGGAATAATTTTGGAAAATCAAAATCATGATGGATCTGGGTTTTGTCCAGCATTAGTCAACCTGAGTTGACTACATGAATTCTCTACTTCATTTTGACTACTGCAGTTATGACCTACTTCAGCTGCTCAGTGGTGAAGAAGTCAGTCCAAAGATCATCTGAGACCTTGCTTTGAAGTGGTGCAGCTGCCTCCACAGTGGTCTGTGGGGGAAGAGCCTAGACCTTTAAGTGAACAGAGCCTTTAAGCTTTAAAAGGCTAAAATTGAAGGGGAGACTGTATTGTTACACAATCCCAAACAAGGGATCAGAGCTACAATATTGCTGTGTTTTCACGGGAGCAAGAGAACTCAGCAGGGCTGCAAGAGGGATTCTCAGTCACCAATGTGTGCTACTGGCACAGAACAGCCAGTGCACCTAGTGGGCTTCTGGTACTGCTGGAGGTCCATGGTAGTGGTAGATGTTAGTCCATCAGCTTCACTTTCCCGTTGGCTCTGGACCTTATTGATTGATACTTACTGATCCCATTTACCTCACTGTGATTTGTGGATGTCACTTGTAGCAAAACCTGAAGATGCTGATGAGGATTACAGCCCCTTTGCCCTAGTGGCTGTATGAAAACACAGAAGGCATTGTTTCTTCCCCAAAGAGCTTTTAATTTTGACCATTGTTGCTTGACAGTGTTCTCTCCAAGAGAAGGTCAAGAAGGTCACATTGGTGGTTTTCTGAGGTATTCTCCAAATCTGTGGCTTTTATTTTATCTGCACAACAGATGTATCCTTAAGCTCTCTGCCCATACAGTGCCTCTGGAGGCCACGTCTGAATTTGGTTCAGTGGTACCAGGTAACTTTTTAAAAAAACACAACAAGCAAAGGAAAAACACGATTTCCCATTTAGCTGGAATATGGCCCTTACTACATACATTTCCCTTGTATTTTTTTATCATAAGTGACATGGGCTATGTCTACACTAAGAGGTTTTCCCGGGATAACGGAGGTATCCTGGAAAAACTCAGCTGCGTCCCAGGAACGCGTCTGCTCTTCCACTTTTTTTGTGAAAGAGCAGATGCGCTCTTTAGGAAGCCCTGTTTTCCTCCTCCCACAAGGAAGAAGGGCTCTTGCGAAAAAGGAGGCTTTTCCGAAATTTGGCCCAGTGTAGATGGGCCAAATTTCAGAAAAACCTCTTGTGAAAAAACTGTCGTAATTTGCGTACCTTTTTCTGATAGATCCCTGTAGTGTAGACATAGTCATAATATTCAGAGCATTTGGATGGGAAACTTGAGACGGGTCCAACTTCAGCTATCTGATCTAGGCAGACACTACTTCACTGGAGTCAATGGATTTGCATCTACCTAAGGGAATCTGGGGATATCCTTATGGAACTAGTAGCCTTATAACTATATTTTGAAAGTAGTAATTATCAATTGTATTCCCAATTAATTAAATTGTTGCAAGATTGAACACTGATTTCTAAATATCCAGTGGCTCTTACTTGTGTCTGGCTTCTCCCTCTAATAAGCAGAAGCTATCTTTCTTTAATTTTTTAAAATGCGTTTGATTTTTAAATAAACTTCATTTTTTCAAAAGCACTTGGTATATAAATTCAAAGCAATGAAAGATTTAAGCCATAAAACCACAAGTGTGGGAAACCCTTTTAACAAGTTTTAATGTCTTTGTATGTAAATAGATGTTTTTATGAATTTTCACGGTAGAATGAATATACAGTATTTAAAGTTCTGCTTTATTTGAAATCAGATTTACAAGGATGTCTTTTTGTAAGATCTGAGTATAAATGAAACCAGGTACATGAAACTTGTAAAATGTGGAGATGCAACAAATTATTGTTACAGTAGCTAATAGTTATATCCGCTGTTGAAAGAGGATATGTATGTAGCATTACATATAACTGTAAAATTTCAATACCCTGGCCAGTCCCATCCTTAAGACAAACCTTTCAATTGTCCCTCAGTTATATGTATTATACAATAAAAACTCCAGTCTATCTTCTATGAAACTTTTTTTAACCGCAATTGTATTTCAAAATAACTATTGTACTTGAGTTAACTAAAACTGAGGCTGGAAGCAATTCTATCTTATTTAAGCGGCCAGCTCTGACAGTTTCTGCTATTTTCACACTTTTTAGGCCACAATTGTTCCATCTCTAATTCATAGGGATGCTATAAAATGCACAGTTTGAGGGTAAGTTTATATGTGGAAAGTTAATCCCACAATAATTAGCTTGTATACAGAACTTGATAATGTTTTATGACATTTGTACTAGAACTGTGAGCCTTATTGAACATAATTAGGTTTATTTATAAGTTTTAAAACAATGGATAATTCTAAAGGAAGATGTTTACATGAATGATGCCTGCCCTTCTTCTCATGTTATGAATGAAGTTTTTTTATAAAGTGTGTTTGGGTGCATGTGCCAGGATGTAGGAAAGATGTTTCTGGGGAGAAAATTGACAAACATTTGTGATAAATGAATCTTACAGACTGTTTAAATGTGCTATGAAGGCAATGCAGGTATTAAAATTCAAATAGAACAACTTCTGCTACTGTGTTTATTTGTCTTTTTAAATAATTTGGACTACCAACACTGCTCTGTTTTTCTGTTGTTCTAATCCCTACAACCTTTTCTATTGATGGCACATAGGAGAATTTGGCCCAGTTTCAGTGGTCTTTGGGGCAATGTTGTACTAATACAAATCGTGAACTAACAAGAAAACAGTTCTTGTACTAGTCACTTTCCCACAGAATTAGGTTTCATGTACAAATAACATGAAGTGTGAGTGTGTTTTTCTTGGGAGTTGGAATGGGTGATAGGTGAAGGTAGGACTGGGGAAGGCAAGCCCCCAGGCCTTGCCCCTTCTGCATCTGGTACTGCCCCCCACGGGCGAAGCTCCCCTCTTTGCCCCCAGAGCACCACAGGGAGGAGAGGCGGCACACAGCCCCAGCCTTCCTGGCTCCTGAGCATAGGGAGGAGTACTGCTCAAGCCTCCCCGGCCCTGGAACATGGGAAAGGCAGGTATTACGCAGCCCAGACTTCCCCAGTCCCGGAGCTCGAGGAAGGCGGGTGGCAGAGGACCCCAGCCTCTCCCACCCTGGAGCATGGCGAGGGTGGACAATTGGGAGCAACAACCTTCCGATCCCAGTATGCCTTTACTAGGCATTCTGGGGGCAGAGTATGGGTGGAGGCAGGCTGGTGGTTTGGTAAGGCAATGCCTTCTCCCACCTATTATACCCACCGCCGGTGAACAGCAGATTTTTTTGTTTACCCAAAACTCTTCAAAAAACATTTTAAAAGCTATCCGACTGTAGCGGGGATTCTAGTCTAACTTACTGCTGCAGCCACTGTTGTGTGCATGGAGGAAGAGGGACAGAACCACAAAGCTTCCTGCCTAATGTACCAGGGATGTCAATGAAATGTGCATCAGTCCTTGCCCCCAGTCACACACCCCTCATTCATGATGATGTTCATTCTTTGGTAGGATGTTTTTCTAAAAGATTCTCTCTAGAACAGGGCTACTCCACTTCGGAAATCCTGGGAGCCACAATGATATTTTTACACTAACGGGCATGAATATAAAGATTAAGACAAGACTACACAATACACAGGCCCCATTTAAGTCAGTTCTGCTGATATTAATAAAATGCAATATTTACTCGATTTCTACCCAGCTGACAGCACTTTTAATGAGCAATGACAGTCCAGAAACTTAACTACTAAAATGCATATCAATGGAAGACCGTTATATTGATTAATTTTTTTGTTTTGGCTCCCACTCGCAGGCCGTGTGTTGAGCCCCGTGTAATACCTAAACTGCACCGTAGTCCGCAAACAGGCTATGGGCTGCATGAGGCCTGTGGGCCGTGTGTTGAGTAGCCCTGCTAGGAGTTACTTTATGGAAGTTTATGGCCTGTGTTATACAAGCTAGACCAGATGATCACCATAATCCAGAATTATTCAAAATACGGCCTGTGGGCTGGATTTTGAATGCCAATCTGTCAGGCTGCTTGCCTGCCCCACCCTCATATGCCACTCAGAAAAAACAGCTGGTGGGGGCCCTGTTCATCTGTAAACAGCTGCAAGTCCTGGAGGAGAGACTTTGCACCCTGCCCCCAGCACAATCTTGCCGCTCCCATTGGCTGGTTTCCTGCCAATGAGTGCTGCCTATTTGAAGAACAAAGTGTGCAAAGTACCTCTCTCCCCTCAGTCTCACCCAGCAGTCGGCAGGCTGCCAGCTGGGAACTGTTTAAATGAGCATCTGTGTCCCAGGCCACTTAAAAAAAAAAGCTAAATCAGAATTAGCCATTCTCCTACTGAGTGTTCTTGCAAGAGGATTGCATTGATTTAGATAAATCAATACAATTTTAGCATTTAGATGGAGCGCTATAAAGGCTTAAAACTGCTGCTGTATTGGTACAAGGCACAGAAATCTTGATTGTAGTGGCTTTAGTGTCTAGTTTGGTATAAGGAGAATATGGAAGAATGTGGAAAAATGGACAAAAAGGAGACTGCATTTCTGTGCAAAGTGGAGGAGGTTAAAAGGGACATCACACATCAGAAAAGTGGATAAGTGGGGAGGCACTAATTTTGTTATGGTTCTTTAGAAATAAACCTTTTTGTTACAGTGAAGAAAATGCTACAGTGGACAAAATGCAGCAGTGGAAGAACTCAGAAGGATGACAGTCAGAATTATGAGGGAGAAAGAGGTAGACCCCTGTGTTGATTCAAAATTTGTACCTGTATCCACAAAAATGAGCCACAGATACTCATCTACGTGGCTGCAGTTACTTAATGGATATACACTGGATATCAACAGATTTGCAGGGCTCTAGAAAGAGGCTCCTAGCAGCATTTTGAATGAAGCCACAGAAAATGAGTGAGGAAGAGGTTGCAGTAGTCTAAGGGGGATTGAAGGAATGTATGAGAGTTTTAAATATTGTAATGGGAAAGTCTAGGTTTTGAAGATGTTGTGCAGTGAGAAATTTGAATTTGGCCTAGATCTGTGAGTCTAGAGAGGGTAATGTTGACACCGAGATTATGGAGCTGAGTGACAGGATAGAGAGGGTGGTAGAGTCATTTGTGATAAATGAAGCTTACAGACTGTGTTTAATTGTGCTATAAAGGCAATGCAGGTATTAAAATTCAAATAGAACAACTTCTGTTGCTGTGTGTTTTAAAAATTTGACTGCCAACACTCTGCTCTGTTTTCTGTTGTTCTAATCCCTACAATCTTTTCTATTGGTGGCACATAGGTAGAATTTGGCCCAGTTTCAGTGGTCTTTGGGGCAATGTTGTACTAATACAAATCGTGAACTAACAAGAAAACAGTTCTTGTACTAGTCACTTTCCCACAGAATTGGGTTTCATGTACAAATAACATGAAGTGTGAGTAACCAATAAGTTGCATGAGGAGAGTATGGGAGGGAATAGAAGGAATTCTGTGTGGGTATGTTAATTTTAAGCTGACAGTGGGACATCCAGATGTTAGAGAAGCCAAGCAAGGTTAGGTTGACAGGAGTGAGACAAGCATAGAAATAGCACTGGAAGCCATGAAAGCAGCTAGAGGTGTAGAGGGAGGATAGGAGTCCTCTTGAACTAAAGAGCATATGAAAAGGCAGGGGCAGCTACTCTGGACAAGGGTGGTAGGATGAAGGAAACACCTATACCCTCATTTGCATCAAAGGTGGGACAAGGGAGGCATCTCTGTTAGCACTTCCAAAACAAGAACTGCACTGAACTGTGGGATACAGAAAGCAGGAAATCACTGCTTGATGGGAAATCTTTGCTCCAGATCTTAATGAACATGCCCCGATCGGTAATTACCAGACCAATTATAGTAATAAATCCTATATTAGTATCCAGAATATTGAAACTGCCCAGTTGCCTTATGAGCTCCCTGGAA